ACTACCGGCACAAATAAGTAAAGTCGTCTCCCTGAACCAGGTGACATTTTACTTCCGAGCAACACTAATCGATTTGAAAAATTTTGACCAACTCGAAACACTAATTCAATAGTCTTCCCTATACTTATCAACTTACGTAATGTCATTTTTAACGTCCGTTGTATTCAAACCTAGCAAGCCCCATACTGCTACTGTAGTTTTTAATCATGTAAGTTAAATCATATAAGTCGTACAGTGTCGTACAGTTGAAAAAAAAAATCTTGAATGTAACTCGTGTCAATAAAAAGGGTTTAGGAGATAGCGGTGATGGGATATCACCTGCATTTTTAAACTTGAGTAGAATGTTGGGTCACGTTAAATTTATTTTTCCAAACGCGTGAGTAATATTTTTATACTCTCTGTAGATGATTATTCATTTGTTTATTATTCCTTTTTTTTTTTTTTCAGACCTAGTCGACCTATAACTGTGAATAATGGAATGATCATGCCTGCATGGTATATATTTATCTCTTATTGGTGGAAGTTCGTTAATCGGTTCTATGATACGCATACATTTATCTAATTTACGTAATTTATTGGAATGCAGGTATGATATTCATTCCTTAGGAGATGATATCGAAACCAGAAGTGAAGATGAAGAAGGCATGTTAAATTCGGTTAGGGGAATAAACGGAATTATTCGTGATGAAGTAGATTCGGGTATTCCTTCTAATCGCATTGTTGTTGGTGGCTTCTCTCAAGGCTCGGCTATGGCGCTACTGGTTGGCTTGACATCTGAATATCGCTTTGCTGGGATAGTTGTGTGAGTGTTTTTATTCATATATCGATATATATCTAAATATATATATATATATATATTATTTATTTATTTATTTATTTCCTTATATAGGTTGAGTGGTTACCTTCCACTTAGGCGCAAGATCTATAGGGTTATTATCATTGCTTTATTAAGTATCTTTAAACAAAACGATATTTATTTTTATTTTTATCCGAATCCATTGCTTGAATAGATGGCCACAGAATCAAATAAGGGAACACCAATTTTTATGGCTCACGGTATTCTTGACACGGTATTCAAAAGTTTATTTGTTTTATTATTATTATCTAATGGTTTAATCATTACAGAAATAATTGGTAAATTTCATCCATTCAGGTTGTGCCGTATAATTTTGGAAAATTATCATCTGAATCATTGAATTCTAATGGATATCGGATCACCTTTAAAACCTATAATACGTTGACTCATTCTTTAAATGCAGAAGAGCTTCAGGATTTGGCGCAATTCCTTAAGGATGTAATTCCCGATGTTTAATGTAATAATTCGTTTTTCTTATATATGTAATGAAAGGTAAGCAGTCAGGTAAGGATCAAAAAATTAATGGCAGAAGTAAATCTATATGTAATATTAATCACCTAACTAGTGAATTAGAATAAGTTGTAGTATCATTAAATTATTGCACTTGACAACACTTAGATGTCAAATATCTATATATAAAATATACTATTTTCTACGTTAAATGGAGTCTAACATTCTTTCCTTATTAAATTGCAGCACTGCTGCATTATTTACAACATTAACGCATTTTAATGCGGCATTACAGAAATGCAGAATTTCATAAGTTAGAAAATTGTTCCACGGCCCCGGCTGAATGATGTTTTGCAAAAACTATCTTAATGCTGGCCAGATTAAATGGTTAATACGGTTAAACGATTAGAAAAATTTTGGGCGATTTCAATCCCTAATTTTTACTGTCAACTATAAATCAAGCCCATGAAATTTGGATTTTATTTAATTCATATAAATAAAATCCAAAATGTTTAGGTCTTGTAGTGGACACCAAAGTGATACAAATGTACGTTTTTGATGCATTAAAGGCTATACAATTTCGTTAGTTAATTTATATTATAGCACGGCCATATTGATCATGAAACTTACACCGTTTGTTTTTAAAATAACAAGCATGAATGATGTAATAAATTGAATATAATATAAACGGT